AGCTCTACCGACTGAGCTAACTTGTGTTTACCTAAAAACTTCCTCATCATTTGTTTACCATTAGTTTAATTAGCTTGATTTATTTGTTTTCTCTGTAATTTGTCTTTCTTAAATCCTTTCTGCTGTTTTTATATATTTATGTTCATCTTTCAAGAAGCACATGTATGCACAAACATATTTAATTAATAAATTAAATAAATAAATAAATAAATAAATAATTAAATTTTATTTTAGTTTGATTGTTGCTGGTTTATAGCAAGCAAAGAGAAATTACCTTTTTAAATAATGTTTTTTTTTTTTTTACATATATAGTTTCTTACCACAGGGGACATATAATATAAAATCTGGCATAAAAAGCTTAAAAAATAAAGACACAAAAGGAAAAAAGTCCATTTCAGCAGGTTGATGAGTGAGAAAACCAAAAATATACTACCAATTATAAATAGACAAATAAATGTTTTTTGTTTCCTGTTTTTATAATTGTCCAAAAAAAATGTTTTTAAATTTTAATTTATTCTCAAAACCCCCCAAAAAAGCATTTTCAGCACATTAATAAGCCGCCGCTGTGTGTTTTCAGCGAGCTGCGGCAGATCAGAGGTGCCTGGTTACATGCTGGCGGTCTACAGCTCCAGACTGGTGATGGTGGAGCAGGTGACGGCCTCCAACACCACCATCGCCGACGCCATCATCCAGCTGACAGAAACTAAAGGAGAGAGACACGAGGTAACGGAGTATTTCCACAGTGTGTTCAGTACTTTTACTGCAGTAAAGGATCTGAACACTTCTCCCTCCGCTGGCGTCAGGGTCGAGAGGGGATGACGTGTTACTACCTGACCCACGGCTGGGCGGGGCTCATCGTCATGGTGGAAAACAGACACCCGAGGCATCACCTCCACGTGTCGTGTGACTGCAGCGACAGCTTCAACGTGGTGTCGACGCGCAGCAGCCTCAAAGCCATCGACAGCATCCCCCCTCTGCACAGGTTCAACACACGCCGCCGCTCAACAGTGCATTCATCACTCACACTGACAGACAACTACTGATGGCAGATTACAGAGATTATGTTTGTCTGTTTCAGGTTATTATAAACCAAATTATCAGACATTATCAGACTGATCATTCTTTTGATGTTTGAAATTAAATTATTCATAATCCCTGATGGAAAAAGAAAGGTTTCAGGTCACTATAGGTCCATTCTTCAGCGTGCATTCACACTGTACACAGGTGGGGTTAACTATAGACCACTGCAACCACCTGCATAATTAAACCCACCTGTGTTGATTGTGAAATAAACTGATAAACAAATAACGTGAATATTAGTTTCAGCAAGCTATCATAAGCAGTTTTTTGTTTGTATCATAGTTCATCATAGCTTCGACTAACGCTGTCCAGTTCAACACACCAGGACTGTTTTTAATGTTGAACCTATAAATGTAGGACGTAGGATCGTGGTACTGCAGCTACATGCTAACGTTGGTCTGAATGCACCGTTTTTTTACTGCACTTTCTTCTGCACGGCCCTGTCTGCGTCTCTTACCTCTGAGCTCACTGGTTCTGACTGCAAATCTTTAAAAACACCTCACAAATACTTTCATGTTTTAAAAAGGTTCAGTACTTTCCACAAAACAGCATTTACCTTCACTGCCGAGTCTGAAAATGAAGGAAAACAGTTTCTTGTACTTTGAACAGATAAAACACAAACAGTCAGTGGGTAGATGGACGTGAATGAGGCTGTATTTCTCTCTCAGACAGGTACTCGTGGTTTTGTCTCAGCTGGAAGGAAACGCTGGATTCTCCATCACACACAGGCTGGCTCATCGGAAGGCCGTCCAGGCCTCTCTGGGAAACTGGAGTCCCTCGAAGGCGACACACAGTCCCGCTCTGAGCCCGGAGACCGCCGGTCTGCATCAGCCCCGACCCCTCTGACCGCAGACCAGAAGAACAGACCCAATTCATACACGAGACCACAACATGGAGGCAGCTTCTCTAAAAGAGCAGTCCAACACTTTAGGAAATACCCGTCTGTCTCATTTTAATGAAATATTTTTGCAAAGAGATGATCATATTTATTGAGCAGACTCTCTGGAGACAGAAATAATCTCACTGGTTGAGTCTGATCACACAGTGGACTGACAGAGAGGTGTAACAATGTGCCAACTCCTTTCAGAGGGACTATATTTAATTCATTAAAAATTATATTTCCACTTTATTTCATCAACATAGTTGGAAGTAATTCAGGCATCAGTTAGTTTAAGTAATTAAAATGTCTATTTTGGATATTAGGCAAAGTTTTCCTCTCAAGCAGCGGTTCTCAAACTTTTTATTAATGTTGCACCTTTATAAAATATTTTATAAATTAGGGATGGCTCGATATCACTTTTCCATGTCCGATACCGATGCCAAGCACTGTGAGTGTCGGATTCATTCAGAAAAACATTTCATTGCTACATTGAAGAGTATCTTTGTTATTCTGTGTGTCTGCTTTTATCTTGTTTAACTTCTTCCTCCATGTTTTCAGCTGTATTGCTGCTGCATTTCAACCCCAAATCCATTTTCTTGATTTCTTGATCATTCAGTACCGAAACTGGCCTCACAGTGAACAAACATCGTGAACATGATTGCGTTTGTTGCTTTTCTTATTCTTCTTCTGTGAGGCAGTTGACAATTTGAAAACAGGAATATTAACTATGACATGTGGTTTGTTGAGATTATTGTAATTTAATTATTATAGGAGTTATGCATTTTAGAATGTCAAGTTCCCCCTGCAGTACTCCAAAAGAAACCCAGGCGGACACATACTCCCGTTTGAGAAACACTGCTCTAAAGCACTGTACTGTATAATCAGCAAATTGAACTCAACAATACTGCAGGTGAACACCAGTTATTAGCTTATATATATGTATAATATATTGATCAGCAGTTATCAAAGAGCATGCCTCTGTCACATTCCATAAACATCTTATTTTTAATTCATCTGTGTCGTGTTCCACATCACAGATCTTGACGTTTTCTTTTGCTTCTCATATTTTATGTAAGAAACACTAAACGTGTGCTGGCTCACAGATCCGGTACAAGAGACTTAATCAATATAGATACATGACATGATTATTATCATTTATTTATTGCTTATAGTCTGTAAAACGTCCTGTTTCTCAGGTAAGTGAGAAAATATATTTTTGTGACTTGTGTGAACTGACTGTAAATCAAAAAGTGAGATTATTTATTTCTGTCTTCGGAGCAGCTCTGCCTCCAGCCGATCCACAAACCTCCACAAACACATTTAGATGAGTGAACACATGATGCACTTTATATTTTACAAACACATTTCAGATCACAGGCTGGTCTTCAGGTCCAAACTGTCTTAATTGCACTGGTGATAGATCGCTAGAAGTTTAGTTAGTTGTGTCTGAACCGGCTGCCAAGAATATTCACAGTGACAACACAAACATGGTGTTTATTCTCTTCAGTGTTATTCAGTCGTACTGCAGTCTTTATACTTAGTACAGTGCAACATGTAGGATGTTTAAAGGGTCAGTGTGTATTTTGCAGCCAACAGAAGAAATGAGAAAAACAAAATCAGGAAACAAGCAGTTTTCTAAATTTAGTTTTTCTCATTTCAGAGAAAAAATCTGTTGGCTGCAGAGTAGACACTGACCTTGAATAAAGTCTAGTAGTGTTAGAGTGGAGGCTCGCTGTGTGGAAGCAATAGCACTTTATGAACTTTAAACGATGCTGGACTCTGGTGTTTTAAAATTGCACAGTGGAGAAAAAACATTTTGTGCTTATTAATCGAAAACCACCATCTTATTGTTAGAGACAACATATAAACTATGCAAATGTTTGAAAGCTGTTATGATGCTTTGTGAATTAAAACGTGAAGCTGTTTTCGGCCTATCTGTTATATATGTGGCATTAAGATCAGTGGAGTATAGCAGGGTATACCTTATTTTACACTCTAAAACCAAGTTAATTTAACTAAAAAAACAGTTGTAAAAAAGTTTTTTAAAAGTTCAAGTAAAACCAAGTCACAACGTTTCAGTCCTTAGACCTTCATCAGGTAAAAACTGGGTGTAAGTTCTTGTGAACCTGTCTACAAGAGCATGAACTGGTATTTATATTAAAACAATTAATTGTTAATTGTCTTTGCAGGACAAATCGAACATTATGGTGAGCCAACTTGCAACTGGCAAATGTTTTAAAGCTGTTTTGATGCTTTGTCGATAAAAAAGATAAATAATATTAAGTAAATTAGTCAAACAAAATAAATGAAAAAACAAACTTTAAATGTTTCTTTAATTGTTAAGATGCTCAATAATGCTTCCCTTAATTGACTGACTTCCTACAGAAAGTGTCACTCTACCAGAAAAATTATTAATAACTAAATAATTTCTCAATAATTGGATTTGGATTTGTTTTCAATGATATTCTATGAAGAGATATGTCGTTTTTGTTTTTATGTTTCCCCATTTTGTATTTTAAAAGTATGATATATATTATTAGAAGTAGGCCTAATATAATTCTTATATTTATCTGTGTGTGTGTGTTCTTGTGTATTTTTAAACGTAAACAATGTAATTGCATTTTTTTAATTTTTTGTATTCTTTGTATGTTTTTGCTTTGAAGTCTGGAATGTGATGTCAGGTGATGATGCCGTTCAAAGATCAACCATTGAGTCCTTTGATACACCTGAACCTTCTCTCCTGGAGTCTATATGTGACCACATCCAGACGTTCACTTCATTCCAAAGACAAGCAGACAAACACACACTATCACAACACCAACGAACTCAACGCACAGAAAAGAGATTTCAACCTGCAAACGTCAAAAAGATACCTGGCTCCACTCGACGACATTCCTGGACCAGCTCACCACAGTCCATGGTCCATGATGGAATCCGGTCTTTTGATACGATATAAAGAAACATAACAGCATGTTGAATTCAAAGTTACTACACACATTTATTTATTTAACAAAACAGAGTAAAATGAACTTGGGTTTGTCAACTCTGAGCTGATGATACAGGAGGACATTCTGATCTGAGGATCACAAAGAGCTGATAATCTGAAACCAGTCCCGAGTGTGGGGAATATTGAACTCACATTTGCACAGGTGACGGTGTTCTGACAAAACGTTGCCTGACCCCAAGAAGTACACAAATTGTCGAAAGAATGAAAGAGCGCATTAACTCCTGACTCTGCCAGATGGAAGCAGCGTAGGACATGAAGCAATAACGCACTCCAGATCCTTCGCCGCAGATAAGACAATCGTTAACACGCAAGATATAAGAAATCCACAAGGTAAACGTACTCCGTGACAAGAATATAGAAAACTCTAAACTGAACGACAAAACCAAAGAAAGCTGGAAAACACACAGACCAAACTGTATGCTGGATAAGGAGTCACGCAGACCCCTGTACTTCCTTTGAAAAGACAAACCAGAAAACAGTCTCCAAATGACGTGCAGTTCCAAGCCCGCATAAGACAATGAAGTCATGAAATGGAACTATGAGACTACAAGAATCCGAAAAATCACTTGACCAAAACTGCGCTGATGGGTCTGGCAGACCCCCTACTTAATGCAAGGTGGAACAAAACCTGCTAAAATGTATAATACCACGAATCCGTGAAGGAAGACCTGCAGGAAGGCAGATGCATCAGTCCATTGACCTAACATGAATTTCAACAGGAAAAACACGACCTGCTCGGTAAAGCGCCGCCAGAGCAGACACAACAGCCTCTGAGATCGTCGCGATATAGTGGATCAGCTGAGACGAGAAACTGCACACCCTGCCCCGAGGCTAAGTCAACAGACGCATCTGAAAGATGGGACAAAACAAGCCATTTTCGCAACAATTTGCCAAGGCGTCAATCCTCAAACTTGTGAGAACTAAGAGAACTGACCTTCCCCCTCAGAAAAAGAATCAGTGAGTGCTAAATTACGGGGGTCCAGTGGTGGCAATGATCCAACATCAGAAAGGATTAGAAATCATAAGTGCATTTAAAAAGACTTCTAGGAATTTCTACTGTCAATGGAATGCAACTATAAGCGACAGGTATTACCAACATTTGAACTAGGCGCGATTAAGTTCGGATGGAGATCAAAAACGAAGTCATACATTAAGCAATGGAATGGGATTAACACATGAGGCGCAAAACAAAGACACATGAGCATTGCCTGAAAAAATAAGGACAGTAGTTAGTGTACGACACTTGCTGAGGCCCCCTGGTGACACTTGGTTAGTACTCAGCACCAATTTCTACAACTGAGCCAGCATCAGCAAAGAAGCTGCAAACTTTGACACCAGTGTTTGAGACACCTCCTCCATCACTGATAACCACTCCGTGAGAAGGTCAGAAACCTGAGAAAGCAATCGACACGACCCACCAAATGGACTAAACGTCCTCTGCTTTTGTTTGGGTTGCTTTACAGATTACTAAAGGCAACAATTGATGTTCCTGTTGCCAAAACCGCCTTCAGTTCCTAAACAGATGCTCGGCAGATCATTGCGGATACGTGGCCAAAACAAAAGCCAGAATATCAATAACATAGCGAAGGCGTTACAAAGACCTGTGCCAGAACATGGGACACAATGAGCTGCGACTGACCTGATGTTAATATGAATTTCTTATGAAATTATAACTGAGACCCAAAAGTCATCTGACACAACAAACGACCGGGGTTAAGAGGTTCTCCCAGTTTCAAGACCCATGCCTCAACCAGTCAATCCTGCTAGATTGCTGCAAAAAATAATCATCAGTCTTGGCCGGGGAGGGACAGCCTTTTGCTTCGCTCATGGAAGAAAAACAAAATTTCCATTTATTCGTAAGTCATCGTTTCCTCCCATATTAAAAAATAAAAGAATCAAGATGACTGAGGTTTCTCCAGTCTTCGGTTCCCTACATTTTAAATTTATAATAAAAAAAATTTTCAGAGAACGCTTGTCTACCAGCCTCCATTCACCTGACCACACAAGTCAACCGGACAGAACTAGGACAGTCTACAGGCCACACAGGTGTCTCATGCCAACACTGAGCCTCGCAACAACAAGGTTCAATCTGGCTTGACACCATTACCTGTGAGAGTAACGAGGCTCACTGGGTTAGCATGGTTTAACCCAGGCTTCGGTTTCCTCCCACATTTTTAAATAAAAAATAATATAATCAAAATCAATAAAAAAAATATTAATTATATTTCGTTAAAATATTCCCTTACTTCATTTATTTTCATGGTAAATGTGTATCAAAGACTAAGTTCCTGTGTAAAAATAAATCAGACAGATTTTATTTAGCCCATAACAGAATCAGCTTGTTAATTTCCGCCCAGCCAACCACCAAACCCTGAAACTACCACTCCCAAACAAGACCCGTAATCAAAAATTGTTGTCGACTGTTGACATGATGACCGCAGCACCCAAACTTTGTTAAACTACACATAATCATTGTGATAAAAAACCATACAGCGATTTAAAAAAAACAGCACCGCTTTCCCAAATAAAAAACATAAACAAAAGAAGGAAAAATTACATGGAGCTCTTGAAGATGGTTGGAACCATTTGACCGACCAGATTCAAAAGTTTAGTGATCGCAGAGTTCATAGTGAAAACAGCACAAATTCCTACATTTTAAGATAAATTATGCTGAGGGGAAATTTGAGGAATGGAAAAAAACCGACAAAAAAGAAGTAAGTTGAAAAATAATCTAAGTGACAAATAGAATAAATTTACAGGCATAATGAAAGGATTACAT